CATATCTGAATATCTGAATAGAATTTACTATTACAATATCTATACAAGTTTTCCTTTCCTGAAATGTATATACATTTTTGGCAGACTCTGTGTGTGTGTGTATATATATATATATATATATATATATATATATATATATATATTATGAAATGGACTAAGTAGGATACAATTTTGATTCCTATTGAAGGACAAATATTTTCTATGATATTTTCTATCTCAGACATTCAAACCAGTAAATGTTGTTAGCATTTACTTAAATATTTGTATCTATAAAAATAATGTACAAACAGAAAATATATAAAATAATTGTCAGATTTAGTTCATTTCATGATATATGATGTCATTTGATTATGTTAAGATATGCTTTGAGCAGATATGAGTATTTGAGAGAAATCATGGGAAATTTGTAGTTTAAAAACAGTAATTTGACTTTGCTAACCAGACGCTTCCTCTGTAGCTAAATGACATAGCATGTTAGGCTATATGACGGGTATGTGTAGGATACAGGTTGGATTCCTGTCAGAAGATACATATTTTCTAAGCTTGGACATTCAGGCCAATAAATGTTGTTAATACTGTTTATTATAAGCAGAGCATTTACTTAAATATTTGTATCTATAAAAATGATGTATAAACAGAATACACACACATATATATATATATATATATATATATATATGTCAACATGGAAAAAAAAAATTTTTTAGTATAAAGGAAATTTATATTAACCTGAAAAAGGCTTAGACAGAAGCATCTATCTTTTTAAATTTGGACTTTTTAATGTAACTATAACAGCAAAGACATTTCGATTTCATTTTTGCCTTGAAAAAATCGGAAGACGAAATGCATCGGCAAAATCTAAGATTTTTTTCCAATTGTCATTTTACCATATATATATATATATATATATATATATATATATATATATATATATATATTAGTACAAGGCAAAAAAAATGGATGCACCCATAGAAATGATGATGAACAAAATATAATGCTTATTACATTTGTATTAACATGCCTAAACATTGTTCCGACTTGAAGAAAGGCCAAGTCACCACTTTTCATGATCTTGGGCTGTTAAATAGAGCATTAGCTGATAACATTACTCAAAGTAAGTCATGTGTCCCCAAGTTAATCAAAAAGAGAAGTTAAACTGGAACATATAATGGACCTGGTAGATCTGGCTGACCACTAAAAACAACCAACAGCAAAGACAGCAACTTAGTCCGTCAATGCAAAAAAAGATCAATTCACAACAGCACAAGATGTTTGCAAAGGGGCTAGTTTGGCAATTTCTTCAAGAACAGTCAGACACAGGCTTAAATAAAAGGCATTGTTTCCCAATACATAAAAAAGAAACTTCTCTATCTGGAAAAAATCGATGGGCATGGTTGGCTTGCTGCAAACCTCATGTACACTGGACTAAATCTGATTGGGAAGATGTTATGTGGAGTGATGAGAGCCCCTTTACTCTTAGATATGAAGGATGAGTATGTGTTTGGTGTACACCCTGTGAAATGAATACTCCAGTGGCTACCAAGTGCACTGTGAAACACAATAAAAAAAAAGTCAACGTTTGGGGTGCAGTCTCAGGAGTTGGTAATTTGTACAAAATTAAAGGAATCATGGACCAACATCAATACTACAACATTCAATGGATTCTATTACTCACTTGTTGCGGTAAAAGTCAACTATCTATGGGTGCATCCATTTTTTGCCTCGTATTTGAGGATACCCCACTACTAGGGTGTCTAGCCAATCCCTATTGCAGACGCTTGCTCAGGCGCATTTGTGTTTATTCAACACCCACAGAGCCCACCTGAGGTTTATATTGCAACTATGCTGAGCAGACCTTAGTTACAGTTTCTGGGAAAGAGTATGTTATTTTACATGATCAACAATTTGAAAAAGGCCAGCACGCTCAAGCCCTCGGCCATGATGACTTGTGGCTTTGTGCTAACACAGATATCAATGGCCACCAAGGGTTCTGTCTACCCAATTTCACTCACAAGGATTGGGTCAACCCATGGTATGGTCTTTCAGACACTTTCCAAAGAAGTTGCATTCTGGAATTGACCCCAGTGAGATTTGAACCCAGGTTTTATGGTTAGAATGTGAACAATCTAACCACGTGTCCATGTGCCCACTATATATATATATATATATATATATATATATATATATGTGATAGAAATTATTAGGAGGATTTGAAATAATTATAATTAAGTAATTCATCGAGTTTAGAAGAAACATCAACAGAAAGCACTGGACGGCCGTTTCGTCCTATATTTGGGACTTATCAGCAGTGCGCATCCACTACTGAGAATTGAAACCCGGACAGTTACGTTATCAGGCAAACGTCATACCAACCGTTCCAGTGGGCCTTGGTGAAGAAGAGGTTTCGAATCAGACTCGATATTGCGCCGCTCAATCACATATTCTGTTGGTGAAACTCATCCGAGTTTCTCTTTTACCCATAGGACTGTGCCGCCCCCAAGAGCCACGACTACTATCACCAAGCCACTCCATCCAGAGCATTAGAAGCCGGTTCAAGCAATGATATACAAGTGATAGAAATTAGAAGGATTTGAGATAATTATAATTAAAATAATTCATCGAGTCTAGAAGAAACCTCAACAGAATGCAGAAAGCATGACATTATATATATATATATATATATATATATATATATATATATATATAGTAGACCTAACATAGACCTGTTTAACAGGTATAATATTTGCGGAATCAAAACTTTTTTCATACAGTCTCAATTACAGTGGACTGGTCATGTCTTGAGAATGTCTGAGAATGTTAAGATCCTAATGTACAGCCAATTAGATCAGGGCTACAGGAATGTAGGACAGCCATGGCTAAGATACAAAGACAAGCTGAAGAGCAACTTGTCAGCTGTCAATAGACCTCATAACACTCTCAAGCGCTTAGCCTTGGAGTGGGGAGAATGGAGATCCTTGTGTTTTAGTGGACTCAGCAGTTTTCAATCAACTTGTCTGAATTGTCTTCAAGAAGCGAGAGCAAGATCTAAAAGGTCAGCCAATCTAACAGTGATCAGCTCCCACGATCCTTACACTTGCTCCATATGTAGCCTTCTTTGTAAATCACTAGTGTGTGTGTATATATATATATATATATATATATATATATATAGTGTTCTCATGATCTTTAGGCAAGGAAAAAAACATATTCTAGTAAATTAAGTAGCAACTAGAGGTGTGCCTTCTTGAAGGTTGGTATTGTGAAGCATTTCTTGTTCTGTCTGGATAGCCTAGTCATTGAGCACTTCAATTTACTGCTTAGGTAAACATGCATTAATGAAAAATTGCTGCCTAAATATACACAAAATATATATATATATATATATATATATATATATATATATATATAAAGATCCATAAGTTGTAAGTATAATCCAAGTAGATCTTTGCAATATAAAATATTAAAAAGATAGATCCATGAAGAGAGCTCAATTTATTTATTAAATGTGACACTAGAATAAAAACAAAAAAACAGACATGACACCAGAGTGAAAAAGGCATATGTAATTTCAAAATGTAGGCATACGTTCAGTCTGCAAGTGTCCGGTCAAAAGCTATCCCCTCTTGGTGGGTATCTTATTCTTCTGCAGCAGATGCAGTTGATTCTACACCCTGCTCATAGGGCATTGTAAGTGAAGAGATTCTCATGGTGATAATGTTGAAGATTGTGTTAATGACACTGCTGATAATGCTGTTGACTCAATTTTCTGACCAAATGTTCCATATTGATCAATGTAACAAGAAACAATAAAGACTGGTTTTCAGCTGAAATGAACCTTGAGTTTTCCATTAAGACTAGCATCAAGTTGTTAAAATAATGTCCATGACCTGCAAACAGCCATAAACAACTATTATATGCTGATAAAAGAATGTAAGAGAAAACTCCAAGTAGACAAGGCTTTTTGTTAGACATAAACACCAATGAGGCAACTGCTTAGAGGGAGAAAATGTCTCTGGCCATCTTGTTGAGTGCAATAAAAGTTTATTTGCTTTAAATGGCTGAACAGGATGGTTTGAAAAACACCTTGAGGATGAAGTGGAATAAAAAGAAAAAGAATCCAAGTGCAAAGAAAAAAAAAAGAGAGGTGGAGGAGAGGGTAGAGGAAGAATAAAGTAGGAGAATGAGCAGAGGAGGAGAAGTGAAAAAAAGAAATGAAGGATAAAGAAAAAAGGGGGGGTATAGGTAGGGTGGTAGAGAGGGCAGGTGAAAAATAAAAAGAAGAGGAAAGAGAATAGGAGGAGGGGGAGAATTTGAGAAATATATGAAAGTTAAAGAAGAGGGAGGGCTATAGGCAGAATAGATGTAGCAAAAAAACTCTTTACTAAGGTCTAGAAGAAACTGGGATTTGTGGAGGGCCATGATCACCAACATCTTAAAGGAACACAGCACATAGAAAAAGAAGCTAAAGAGGGTAAGTGAAGAATGAAATAAGAAAAGGAGAAGTAAAAAAAAAACGAAAAAATAAAATGGAGATGGGAGGAGGAGAGGGAGAAATAGAAAAAATAATGGATAGAGTCGTTGATCTTTTACAAAACAATACACACAAAGCATTCATTGTTGCTTGTAATTAATCTGAACAGAATTTCAACTTGAAAATGCAGAAAATAATTTAATAAAGAAAAAAAAATATCTAGAAAGTGCAAAACTTCCAGAAACTTGCAGCATAATTACATGTTCAGGATCAAACACCCTATCTCTGTTGCTGACGAATCTACAGCTAATACAATGTGGGATATTTAAAAGCAGCAGTAATAAAAATAAAAACAAAAGTGATAATTGAATTAAATCAACTACATTATGTATGTAGATATACTGGACACAAAAATGTAATTTAAAGCTAAATGTCCTATCTTGAGCATTCTTTGGCATAAAATCCTAACGAGCATTTGTTTCACTGACTGACTCCTTCAATAAAATCATTATGAAGAAGTCTTTTGGCTTAGGGCCACATCACATTTGAAATACCGGTTCCCATACAATCATGAAGTTAAGCAACATCGAACCTGGTCAGTACTTAGATGGATGACCACTTGAGAATACTGGGTACTCTAAGCATGGATGTGCAGGTGGCATAATGGATTGGAATTGTTAAATGGAAAGCTGAGTTCTGATACCCACTGGTTTGATTCTATTCACTTACAAATACCCTTAGGAAAGGCATGGATCCACCCCTTTCCCTGCCCCAGTTACTGGTTAATTATAAGACCTGTATCACTAAATTGTTACTACCTCAAATGTGACAGAAGGCCAAGAGGTGGGGATAGGGGAAAACTGTTCTTCAATCTGTCTGATCTTAAACTTAACTAACCATGATTACTAACCTAATCATATAGTATTCCCTACACCAAAACAGTACATTCTTACCTACCATTCTTACTGCAGTTAATATAATACCTCCAAAACTCTATGAAGTCCAAACTAGTTCTGATATGTACAACAGATGCAAACTGTCCCATGTCAAGTTGGACACCTGGAACTATGTACAAAGTGGAAGGCACAGGTGTATGCAGAAAATGGAGGAAGGAAAGCAGAAATGGATGAAGAAATTGTTCATGTAAAGAATAAAAGAGTGAGAAATTTGGGACAGTGATTTGCAAGAGCAAAAGTGTTGTTGAATGAACAAAACAAAAAGTGGGGAAATAGTTGCCCAGGAAATGAAAAGAGTAAGACAAAGCAAAATATAACAGAACCAGACATGAAACGAAAGAAAACAAAAACGCAGAGAATAGATGATAAATAGGGAGATTTATGACCATGTAAGAACACCAGAATTGTTAACAGATTAAAGCTCTTTCCAAGATGAGAATTGAGTTCTCTTTGATGACTATTTGGAACAAATGTTCGGACAAGATAAATGGCATTGCTGACTAATTTGACTGACAATTGCAATGCTGGGCAACTGACCAATCATGGCTGACTTGCAGTTAAAAACCACAGATATTTTAGCTTCTCATTTTAAAGAACTGACTCCCCAAACCCGTATGTGCATGGATCTTTGCTGTTTATATAAGTAATTTCATGGTAATTTGTTCTGATGGACTATTCTCTATGGTATTCCATCCCCTGACAGACAAATTGTACATGTGGGAACTCGTTTGGACATCATAGAATTTTTGAGATATTATGTTAGCAATGATAAGAATGGTAATAATGTGCTGTTTTGGTGTAAGGAATACTGTGATATGTTTGGGTTAGTAATCATGGTTAGCTAAGTTCAAGATAAGACAGATTGAAGACCAGTTTTCCCCTATCCCCACCTCTTGGCCTTGTGCCACATTTATGCATTTTTCAGAAAAAAATCTAATCCTTGATAGTATCTAGACTTTATGAATTTAAGCACAGTACTAGATTGGCATGTGCGTTGCAGTATCATAGATATCAGCTCGAAATGAAAAATCAGATAGCTGAATTTGAATTCCAGTCAGGTTCATTAAATTCACTTACATGCAAATATCGTTGAGAAAGGCATGAATGCATGTCTTCTTTCTCCAGCTATGAGGTGCACTATTGTTATACTGGAACGCACCTATTCGATTGTTAATAGACTCTCCCACCTATAATAAGTAGGAGTAGTAGCAGTTGCTAAGTCGCTCAGTGAGTTGGTCAGTCAGTCGATGTCGGATGACCGTTAGTCGGATACTAAAAGTATCAGCAACCACCACTAGATTTCTCTGCATCATTACCTATCCTATCAAGTTCCTAACATTTTGTACGTCGAACCTATTTTAGGACCGACTTAGTGAAATACAAGCCTCCACTGTGAAACTACTCTACAACAGTTATATAGTAATAAAGTGTTACTGCCAACACTTGAGTTAGAACAGAGATTGTCAATGAGCAAACACAGGTGATCCCATTATTGAATTAAGTGGATCACATGACTATAGAGGAAAGACATATATAGGAAGTGGCATGACCTCTACATTGATTGTCATTTCTAGTCTATCCTCTGTTACTATTCGGATCTGCATTTCTAGTCTATCCTCTATTACAAAACGGACCACTATTCTCTACTCTATTCACTATACTATTTCTCTGTTTGGATCACTATATGGGTTACTATTTGAGTGAGTATTATCAAGCAAGTACTATTAGTAAGCATCTGATACCAATATTGTTTAACAGCATACTATAGTTGCATCTGCAATTACAAAAGTAACGATGAGTATTTGTTGGGATTACAAAAGTGGCAACAAGTGTTTGTTGACATCAAAAAAAGATAAATAGCAAGAAAAACGGGTTTCTATAGCCTTGGTTGTCAACCGGTCTACTGCAGAAAGAAATGGAAACCTCCTATGGGAAAATTTGCTTAGTCCATCATGAATCAAAAGAGACATGTTCACCCAAGCATGTATCATGTATGGCACTTAACTGACTGACGAGGTTGAGAGCAAGATCTCATCATTTAACAATTAAAATGTCTAGATGCAACTATCAGTTCTATGCTAATAGTTACTTTTCTCGCACTTCTCGCTTGTGGAACATTCTTCTGGCCTTTTGCTTTCCAGTCACCTTTGATCTTTGTTATCTTCTTAATTTCTGTTCTTTTATTGTTCTTGCTCATTACTGTTTTTCTTTTTCTTATATTCTTTTACAGTTAGTAACCCCCCGGCATCTTAGTGGCTTTGTTGCTTTGCTGAAAAAAAATAAAATCCAATCCCACTCTAAACATTCCCTTGTGTTACATTCCACTCAACTCTGTGTGTCAATAAATATCTACTGTCTTTCTCCAGCCATCAGGCTGGAATCAAAGCATATTATCTTTTCTCTTTCATCTATACAGAAACTTGGTGCTGGAGATTCCAACCCTACAGCAGTACCTTCCCCAATGCTCTAAAGAGAAGGATTGGTGGATATTGATTCCAGCATGACAGTAGTCATTGGGCCTGTGCAGTTTTTGTAACGCATTAAACTGACCTCTTTTTTTTTTTTTAGCTAATAGCGATTTTCTTCTACAAGTCTTACTATTTAACCCATAACCGGGGGAGGAGATGGATGTGATCATGTAGTTAAATACCTACTGACATTTCTTTGTACTTTGGGCTGGGATCAGTAGTAGTTTAGTAGCTTTTCTCTCTAAACCATACGAACCTTGATCCTGGGGATTCCAACTCGGCAGAAACACCTCCCTCACTGGAGATTGGTGGATACTGATGCCAAAATGAAAGAGATTGCAGCCTACTATGAAAAAATCTTCTGTCTAGTCAGTCATGAATCGAAACAGACATGACTGTCCAAGCATGTACCACGTATAGCACTTAAGTGACTGAGTGTGGGGACTGGATGGTTTTTCTTTGGCCTGTATATATCTCACCCTACATTAAACTGTCCTTTTGTCACATCCTCCTAGCCACTGGGGAGGTAGGTAGATAGATTTATTGAGATTTAGCCTTTGTGAGCGGAAACATTTAGGACTTCAGAAAGAAAATATGACGTGTGAAGGAGATATATAAATGTGAAGTTTTCGTGAAAGGAAAATTATTGAATGAATGAAGATATTGCCAAGCTCGGTAAAATGGCAGACATAATAATCATCTAAAAGAATTTTTCTATGAAGAAGAGCAAAAGAGAGAATGTCAAATCTTTTATCCCAAGTATTCTGAAGGATGCAAACAAACAAAAAAAATTTCAAGACTCTTACTCCGGTGTGAAAGAGGAAAGAAATTTATAATTTATTAAATAGTCCTGAGTATGACGATATTCATCAGCAAGGCCTCTGATCAGGAGACTGAAGGTTTTGAGAAGTGTGGTGCTAGTTCTTAATTGATGTTGTTCCAGGTCCTCCCTGGTCCAAGGTGGTAGCACCTGTTAGGGCCCCAGTTATAGGTATATAGAGAAAAAACCAGACAAAAACAGAATTTATGAAAGTATAAAAATATATTTTTATAGTAAAAAGAATGCAACTAAAATATTATTGAGAGGTGCCTAGTCACTGGGAACTGTTTTCTGCAGCATTACTTCCTTCATTGCACTAGAGAGGAGTGTTCAATTGTGCAACCGATGTTTGTGGAGCCTTGGCTATTTAGGGACTTGTGCCCGGGTTTGGGCTCCCTACATTAAACTGACCTTGTGTCCCATCCTGCCAGCATGGGGTGGCAAGTAAATACAAAGTTTGGTATCTGTTCTTTCCTTTTCAGTTATGTTCCTGCTTTCAGACAATTGACAGAAAAGCTCTGAGAGATGCCTAGACCCAGGGATTCCAGCCCTGGAGCAGTATCTCCCTTGATGCACTAAAGAGGAACTGTTGATGGATACTGACATCAGCATGATTGTAGTTATGGGGGACTAAACAGTTTAGGATCTCTGACACATATGCATGTGTATGTGCATACTATATTAAAGAAATGTTCACATCCTGTCATCAGATCAATGTGTAGTATCTGTTCTTCACTTCTCAGTTGCTTTCAGACAGTTGATAGAAAAGCTCTGAGAGATACCTAGACCCAGGGATTCCCCCTGGAGCAGTATCTCCCTCAATGCATTAAAGAACTGTTGGGGTTGATACTGACATCAGCATGATACTATTTACGGGAACTAGGCAGTTTTTGATCACTGAAACATATGCATGCATATGGTCATGCTATATTAAAGAAACTGTCATATCCTGTCACCGTATGGATCAATGTGTAGTATCTGTTTTTCACTTCTCAGCTGTGTTTCAGCTTTCCAACAGTTCATAGAAAACCTTTGAGAGATCCCTAGTCCCAGGGATTCAAAACATGCAGCAACACCTCCATATTTGTTCTAATAACAGAGGGAGGGTTGGTAGATTCCAATGTCAACATGACAGTGATTGCAGGAACTGGGTAATCAATTTGTGTCCTTGGCTCATAGGTATGCATATGGACACCTGATATTAAAAGCAAATTTGTGTGATATCCTTCTACTGTGTGGAGGCAAGTAAATACAGGATCAAAGTGTAGTATTTGTTTTTGTACTTGTTTCTGCCTTTAGGTAGTTCATGGATTTCTAGCGTTCCAACCTTATGTCAGTATCACCCTCATTACACTGAAAAGGGAGTGTTGGCAGATACAAATGTCAGCACGA